GGCAGGTATGAACACTCAAAAGATTATGATAGTCTCCACGACGCATTTTGCGGGGTGAAAATCGTGTAATGTGAACTAGCCTTTAAAAAAAAGGAACAGGGTTTGGCTTTAGAACCTTGAGGGGACGTGAACACCGCTCTTCTGGCTGAAAGTTGGTGTTTCGCTGCCTTAACTTTCATTCTTGTCCTGCTGCGTTCCCCTTGACGCCATCAAGCGCTGTTAAGCTATAACAGTGATCGTCTGCGTATCATACCCACATATAAGGATGGCTTTTTTCATCAGTGTCTGAGAGCGCAAGTCGCTGCCCAAGCGCCAGATTTTGATGACTTCAGAGTGAGACCAGGTTGCTTTGAAAGGTGTGGGTATTTATGCTGCAATCTTTTGTACTCATAACTTGGGGAAAGACTACCTCTGGCAAAGAAAAGTGAAATGGAACGGTTGTTGAAGTCAGAATTTCAAGTCTGAAACTTCGGCAAGATCCATCTAACTGAGTTTGTCAACATAAACACACCTGACGTCAAAGCAAAATGAGGGTATACACAGTGATGCAAGCTGAATTATTCTTTAATAAATTTTACTTCATTTAGTGTTTTCTGTAGGCTAGTGTTTGTGTCGTGAATGTGCCGTAACAACACTGTAGCTGCCATTTTCATTTCCATTCAGTTGATTTGTACTTGGTAGAAGTCTTTGCGAGCATGTGTAGTTCTACAACTTTATACTACTGGCTTCACACTATTATGCTTCTATGCAGCAGTTTAAAACAATTTTGAGCCGTAACTTGTACATTATTTGGATAAGCTAAGATAAGAAATACAGTCGACTTATTTCACACGCTGTTTCTCCTCGCTAATGGCGCTGTGTAAATTGATGTTGGTCCCCTGTAGAAGCTTGTGAAGCTTCAGAAACTGATTTAGACTTAGAATTATTGACTTTCAACTTACAATTGATTGCAGCAATACTAGACAGGGAGCATAAAACAAAGAGAGTTGCATTATGGGAATTGTAGGATTTAGCAGTTTTAGAGTTTGGCCCATACTAAGGAATAAGGAATTTGCTGAATCATTCTGGGTTTTTTTTATTTATAATTTGTCTTTCTCAAGTCCCCTAATTGGGGAATACTAAATCACCAAATATTAAAGTATCTCAAGTGTGAATTACTATCTGTCTCAACTGTATCTAAATGCAATGAAGATATGAACCACAGACTGTACAACAATAATGGACATAGCGACCGCATCGTCGCCCATTGGTTTGCGGACTCTGAGCCTTGAGTTCGGCATTTCGCCTTAATTATGCTAATTTTAAGTCTAAAAAATTAAAACAGTTGAGTTATAGAGAAATTTACTACCCGTATAGAAGTCATGATGAGGAAATTAGCTATTGAGACCAACGCTGCTTTATGTACAAGGCTGTAAACTTGTTTATTTCTGCTTTAAAGTTGGGTATTTTAATATGGGGGTCTATGGAGATTTACTCGCTTTTGGAGCCTGCCTCAAGTGGCCATTAAAGGAACTGCACTTTTGTCACTTCCATGTTGTGTAGAGTGAACAAAATCAATTGGTGGCAAAGTGGATGTTCCATTAAACATCCATTGACAGAAATACTGGCAGTTGTCAAAATTAGGTCATGTGCTGTTCAGAGGCACAACACACCGTCAACCACAATACCTACCAGAAGTCAGTAACATAAGGCAACAGTTTCACATTACTGTGGCTGGCCGTTGTGGGAACCTTGCTGCTCATGCTGTCAGCCGGCCCTGTTGATGTCCTTGGTTGTGAATATTTCACTGGTTCATGCAGAAATAAATGGAGGCCATACGACTGTATTGCAGGTGGAACACGAGCAACAGAAGGCCACGGCCACCACCACATAGGGCCAAAACAACCTGACTGTAATGCTTAATGTGAGCGAGTGGGCGGGCGGAGCGGCTGCCAGCTGTTGGTCACACTATTGTTGTCGTTTTCCTCGTCCCTGACTGGAACAGTCCGTTTACTCTGCAGCCATCCAATGAGGATAAACATCTGGCTTTGTGTAAGCATAGTTAAGCCCAGACTTGGTGATCATAGTTGGGGCCAGTTGGTGTAGGCGAGGGTGATCTGATTAGTCATAACACCTTTCATCATTCCTCGCCAGCAACTTGGAGCAGGTTTTTAAACTTCGTTTTGAATATCAAATTGAGCAATCCAGCAGAGACATCGCTGCAGTCTTCAGCCTGCCCAACAGAATGTCAAGCAGTCCGACTCAGAATGATTATTTACAGCCACTCCTGTACTCTTCTACTGGATGACCATTAATGGAAGCACTGCAGGCCCTAATCTCTCTTCTAAAACCATTCCTCTGTTTTCAAAACCAGCAAATAAACACCAGAATGAGTGTCTGCAGACAGCGCAGAGACAAAGTGTGTCTGCGAGTTGTCTCCACAGTGCCAGGGAAGAATGAGTCTGATCCACATCCAGTCTTGGGCTCTCTCCCAGCGCGGAGCTACATCTTTAATCGTTAACCCAAATCCAGACCTATGCAACAATTTGCAGATGACTACCAGATGATGACCATAATAATTACAAAATACTTTTGTGTAATTGCTGTTCTAACTGTTGTTTTGCAAGTGGGACATTTGTGGTAAATACACTTTAACCTCACGTGAACCGGAGTTGTGACCTTGTAATTACACACAGTCTGAGTCCATACTCTGCGAGACCCCACACAGAGCCTGTACATAAAGACGCAAAAAGTATTCGATAGCGGGATCCAAATCCATTCCTGCACTTTCATGACTCCAAACAAAGTCCAGCTTGGCTGCTAGACTGCTTTTGGGAGACAGTGTACATACTCGGATTGCAGCTTGATCTGTGGTTTAAAGACACCCTAGGTGGAGGAGACACCTGCGAGTTGCGGTGAAAGGAGATGACTGAAATGGAAATAAACCCCACATCTATGAGCGACTGCAATGCTATAGTGCAGTGACAGGTTCAGCTGGCCGGCCTGTGCACGTCAAAGCGATCAAGGCTTTCATTTTGTTCGCAGACCCCACATAAAGCAAGTTCACGCATGTGTTTCTGTGAGGAGGCAGCATGGGCCGGGGGAGCGAGATGGAGAGATACAAACAGGAAATTTGTGATCAGGAAGCCCAAATGAAGAGAACAAGCTGAGAGAGGCAGAGAACATTGGTGTGGAAAATGACTGCGGGATAAACTTGAGGGCGAGTGACAGAAAGGAGAAAGAGACAGGCGGCGAAAGAAAGCAAGAAAGAAAGACAAAAAGAGAGGGACTGAGAGAAAGAAAGACGTAGAAGAGATTGCTACGGCTGCTGCTGCTGCTGCTGCAGGGGTTCAGCTGGTCAGGCTTCACAGAGACATACAGACAGAGGCCATGAGGTCCCTGGTGGGTATCTCTGCACCTGTGTGTGTGTGTGTGTCATGTGTTTCTAGGTCAAGTGGGTCCCTGACATCTAAGATATGCTACAGCAGTGACTTTCTCCTTCTGTCACTGGCCTTGTATTCTTTTAACACTTTGTCTTTTTGTCTACCCCCCCACCCCTACACACACACACACACACACACACACA